CTCACTCTAGGCCGCCGTGTGTGACGCTGTGTGTTTCGTTGTGAAAGCGAAACTACTTTGTTTGGCCTTCCAAAAGAGGACGATATCCGCTTCGTCATGCCTAGAGCTGATCCATGCTGGTCACTAAGGAAATACATCAACTTCGCGCTGTGAATCGCCGGATCGGCTTTTACCGTGGACGAAGCGGTGTCCAGCCCGGGGTCGTCACATGTGGTTGCCGCAAGCCCGCCCACCGCCGCTCACTCGTTTTGAGCAGTGTAGAGTAGCGCTTGTTGTTTGTCATTTCTCCGATCACAAATGCAGACATGGTTTTATGTTTACGTGGCGCGATGCAATGCAACGCGTAAAAAGACATATTATAGTATAAGTCATTATAATGTGTAATTATGTCCCCACTAGATGCAACAAATGCCTCGTTTATAATGGGTTTTAATGTTTTTGTCTCGTCGCTCCGGCCGGACAGTGCATCACAATATGGTAAGGGGCGTAACATTTCCGTCACATGCTTGAGTTATTCGGCCAATCACAACGCACTGGATAGCTGGCCAATCAGAGCACACCTCGCTTTTCAGACCGATGAGCTTTTTAAAAATCGACGTGTTTCAGAAAGGCGGGGCATAGAGGAGAAACAATAATGTACAGTATGTGGAAAATAATGTGTTTTTTTAACCTTAACATAACCATAACCTTAACATAAACACATTTCATTACACCAAATAATGTTCTTTTTAGCAACATCATGTGACCCCTTTAATGTCAGTCAATAAAAATACAATTGCTCATTGTCGGTTCATAGTAATGGTGCATCAACAAATGTAAACAGATAAAACAAGATCAATAAATTATGTTGGAGAATTAGTTTCTGTTAGTTCATGTTTACTAACATTACACTGATAAAATGGTGTAGTAATGAAATGATTTGCACTCAAATTGCTAGTAAATTTCATACATAATTGCAAAGAAATGGCAAGTAACACACTGAATTAAGAATTTTTGAAGCATCAAAAGCTGATATAGTATTTTCTTGTAAAGCATACTCAATAATCTTTACGTAAAACTTCAAAAAATATATTTTTAGAGCATAATATGAAATGAAAACTTAATGTAAAGTATAACCACAAATTTTAAAGGCATTTTTAAATTCAGTTCTGAATGGTGCACAAACCAAATGGTATTACCACTTTACCATGATACCGTTACGGTACTTTTTTGTAAGGGCTCTGCTGTGTCAGTAATGGCAAAGATGTTATTTCTTTATATGCTCAACTAAATGTAGTTCATACATACAAGTGGATCAACATCAAACGTACCTTGCTGGAGCTGAGATGTAGAGTATCATTGTATAAAGCTCCAGTTTCCCAGTTCTTCACTTTCATGAATCTGGGACATTTGGTGGGACTTTCATTCTGCACAGTCTTAGTGGGGGAAACTCTCCCATGCGGCTGTGGAGGAACAAACATTACAACTTATTATTAGCAACTTGCCTCTGTTAACTTGCCTGTTAGGAAACACTTTTATCCAAAATGACTCCCTGTACACTAATACCAAGAACAATACTCACAACAAATTCCAAGAAAATGTTAAGAGAACATTTTGGTTATCAACACATTTAACCTCTTAAAAATAAAGGCTCCAAAGGGCTCCAAAGGGGTTTTTCGCAGTAATTACATAAGAACCATTTTTGGTTACCCAAAAGAACCTTTTCTAGTTTCTAAGAATCCCCAAGAATCTGTGTGAAGATAAATGATATTTGACAGCAATGAACATTCTTTGCAAAGTTCTTTATTCTTATGTAGCTATTTTCACAACCAGCAGGTAAAGGAATGAAATCACCTACTCAAAAGGCATCAATGGGATAATCAGCGCTATTAAGCTAAATTCTAATTGAGCTTTGATTTTTCAAAGAGAATAGAATACTCTCATTGACTTGCCATTCAAAAGATGACTGTAATTTGCTACATGTATAAATGTATCAGAAGATGACATCATTAATCCAATGGAAATCAATCTAGCAGTCATTAGATTCCTTATGAAGACCCAGTTCACAGGCCGACAGTTTCTGCACCACATCACTTGCATAATTGTAGTGGTTTCTGATGGTATGAATGCAAACTTCAATATCAGCCTTGGCCCATTATGTTCGCTGTCCCCTAGAAGAATAGTGGGCGTCCTTCTCCTCAATCGATTTGATTCTCCTCAGAAGACAGATCAGTCCTTCTCTGTCTCTGGCTACACAACACATGCAACGTACACGATTATTATCTCAAAGCCGCCACGCTGTACTCGGCTGGCAAGGAATATGCCGCACTCACGGATGTGAGACATCTGAGGCAGAAGGGATGAGAAGAACCATCTTGTCACAAGTGAAATGTGAGGACAAAAAGCAGATATGATACACCTTACATATACGAGTGTACTCTGCGACAGGAAGGCTGTGCGAAAGAAAAGGTGTAAAACTGAAAAAGCAAACTTCAACTGAAAGGGTTTTGTAAGGATTCTGTGTACATGACAGCTTCACCCCGGGCAACAACTGACACACACACAACCACGTGTATGAACGGGGTGGAATAATCTGCAACATCATCGACACTTGGGAGACCACTTACCCACACCAAAGCGCTTCAGAAACAAGCACTTGATACACTCACACAGCATTCACAGCCCACCAGAGCCCACCTTCACTGCTGCACCTCTTTATTCAGCTTAGTGCTCGACAACAGGAACTGCAGGGGAAACTGCTTTGTCTAGGTCTCATCCTTCTCACCACAGCTGTATTAACAACACAAGCTTTATTATGTAATAGAGTAACACGAGCTGATTTGATAAACTCATTTTCACAAGCTGCTAATAAATAAAACATTCCGGAATGACTAATCTTTGGATGTCATGGAAATTGTCTGCATAAATACCTAATTTTGGCTTTATTTATTTAATATGGCTAGATGGTTGCTAGAACATTGCTAGGATTTGATTGTTTTATTTTATTTATTTTTTACAGTTGCCAGGGAGTTCCTACGGTGTTGGAGTGGAATTACTAAATGATTGCTAAGTCTATAGATCTTAATCCGATTAGACACAAATTGAATTTAACATGGAAGAAAATGAGGCTGTGAGGGATAAACTTAGTCTTTACACTGGAACACACTGTGTAAAGATCATAGATCATGTCATAACAACCCACAATTTTCAAAAAAGTTTTATGTAACATAAACTGACATAAACTGATCTATCTATCTATCTATCTATCTATCTATCTATCTATCTATCCTACATAAATACATCACCAATCATATGAATTAGTGCTGGGCAACGATTAATCGCGTTTAATCGCATCCAAAATAAAAGTTTCTGTTTACATAATATATGTGTGTGTGCTGTGTATATTTATTATGTATATAAATACACACACACATACAGTATATATTTTGAAAATATGTACATATATTTATATATTTATATTCATTTATAATAAAAATAATTATATAATTTGTATTATATATAAATATATTTAATGAATCAGAGGTGGTCAGGTGGTACACGTTGTAGCTCTCAGAAAACTCCCAGTTAACAAGTTGTAATTACGAGTTCTAAGAGGTCGTGAACGCTTTTTACAAGTTGGTATCTCGTAATCACGGTAATTACTACATAGCGTGAATGCACTTTCTCTGCCCGGAGTTTACGTTGCGCCTTCCGCTACGCCTACGTCATACGCTCGAACGCCTTGTCGTGAACACGCCTGCTTGAGCTACCAGAGCTGAAGATTAGTTAATAAATATTTAAAAATCGATATTTTTCTTACACTAACGCATCGTTTCACTTCAGAAGGCCTTTATTAACACCCCAGAGCCGTGTGGAGTAGTTTTATGATGGATGGATGCAGTTTTTTAGGCTTCAAAAACAGGGGCACCATTCACTGCCATTATACAGCTTATACAGAGCCAGGACAATTGTAAATATAACTGTGATTGTGTTCGTCTGAAAGAGGAATGTCAGATACGCCTAGGATGCCCTGAGGGTGAGTAGATCATGGGCTAATTTTCATTTTTGAGTGAACTATCTCTTTAAGTTTTTAGATGATCAAGTGTCATGGTAAATAATAACAGTGTTATTTTATGGGTGCTGTGCAGTGATATACACAATAGCTAATGGTGAATATGCATTTAGCATCATAATTATTAAATCACATATTTTTGAAATACTGGAATGCTGTATTGACATTAGCATGTAGATGGTAAAATAGTATTGCTTTGTTTAATGATGTTAGCAGCTCATCTGTCCGACTGTTTCGCACCACTGGGTGAGCGAGACTTATTAGAGCTTAAATTATGCAGGGCGCTGCTGTTAGCCTTGGAAAACTCAGCACATTTCTAAAAAACCTCAACCCCATCAGGCAGACTGAAAGGTTATTATCATCTCAAACATTTCAAATCATCGCACCTGTGTTGCTTTACTGGGTTTGCTATCACTAAAGCATGCATTCTCTCTCGTGTCAGCAAGGTTAGTTTTCCAAAGTATGGACACTTCTTAAAAAAAGCAAGCTGTTCCATTTACAGCTCGACATAGAACATATAAAACAAGTTTAACATTGTCTAAAGCAAGCTATTGAACACTCACTTATCATCTCAGCAAGAATATTATGTGTATATTACAGCATGTCGACAATATTCTGGGCATGCTCCAGCAAATTCATTAACCACCAATGTGTGTTAGTGAGAATATGCTAAAAGTGCTAAAATGTCAACATATACTTCTGTTATAACGTGTTATTATAGAGCAGCCAAGGTCTCAAACTGTCAGACTGAAGTGGAGATTTGAAGGTGCAAGGGAATGTGTTATTTCTTAGCCTTTGCAGATAATGTCATATCTGGCTGGCCATTTAAGGTCAATGTGACTGAAATAACACTTACACATTTAAATGTGCATCATAGTGTTATTATAGTATGTATAAGTGCCTGGGTGGTACACAATGTCCAATTAATGGGATTTTTGGTAGTGTGTATCCATGCATGTTTCTTTTTTAGATATAGTGCATTAGTGCTCACCCACATTGCAGCAACAAAGTATTTTTCCATTACGTTTTCGTAAATATTTTTAAAAAGTCTTATTAAAAGCCATGAACCAAGCCAATCAACTACGAGGTGAATCTAGGGTGACCACACATCCTGTTTTTTCCCAGACATGCCCTGACCAGGATTTCTAAATCGCCTCTGGCTTGCTTAGTTGGGGACACTTCATTTCCAGCGATACCGTTGACTTGATTGCAAAGATACTATTTAAACTGAGTTGGATGTTGACATCACTGAATTCAATGATGAACTGTCTTTAACTGAAAAATTAGTGTTTACTATTGTCATTTTGCATTATCGACACACTATTTTCCTAATTAATGCTGTTCAGTTGCTTTGACACAATCTGTATTGTTAAAAGCGCTATATAAATAAAGGTGACTTGACTTGACTTGACTTAATATGACTGGGTTTTGGCTTTGTTTTCCTATTGTTTTCATACTTACTGAAGGTTGATGACTGAAAAGTAGTTTGACCATTTGAGACTGAGCCCATTTCCACCATGGAAAAAAAAGTAAAAAAGGTAATTGCGACTTTTTATCTCACAGTTCTGACTTTTTCTCAGAATTTGCGACATATAAACACAGAACTGTCAGATATAAACTCAGAATTCGTACCTTTTCCTCGCAATTCCAAGTTTACATCTCATAATTGTTTATATCTCACAATTCTGCGTTTTCTCTTGAGTTTAAATCTTGCAATTCTCGCAATTTCAAGTTTATATCTCACCGTTCTGACTTTTCTTCTAAGAATTGTGAGTTTATATCTCACAATTCTGGCATTTTTCTAAAAACTGTGAGAAAAGTCAAAATGGTGAGATGAAAAGTCACAATTACCTTTTTTATTTTGTGGTAGAAACGGTCTTCAATATAAATCATACAAACTGCTAACAATATCCCAAACCACCTTTTGCAAGCAGACTTGGATGCGATTCACTGGTGCACATCTACGGACTCGGCTCTACTCCAAAAGCTGTAGTGTGTAAGCACTTTTAAAAAATATGTATAATGCATAATTTATGAAAATTAAAGCTATATCTTCAATGTGAATGTTGTTGATCACAAATTTTACACAAGTAACCCCGCCCACAACTATATTATACATTAGATGACATCTGATTTGCTGTGATTGTGCAGCAGTTTTGCACTTATTGCAGAAAGAAAAATTAGTTGTTGCTGGAAACTTGTTGCCTGATTAGGACATGCTGTAAAGGTTATATATATATATATATATAATCATATATCATCTCAACAGTCATTGCATCTTTCTGTCACACATAGTGTCAGACATTGAGCACAACAATTACATGCTGCCTTGGTCCCATGTTCTTGTCTTTCTGTTTCTCTTGTACTCTCTCACTCACCCCCTCCTCGTCTTACTCACTGATGATTAATCATCCAGCAGACACTGTATTACGTTAAGCATAGAAAGAGAAAAAGAGAACAACTCCGTCTTGGACCACACAGCTGCATCCATTCATTCCTCTGCTTTCTTGGATCGCCTCCATCCATCCGGTTTCTTTCAGAGGGATAATGCGTCATAAGAGGCCAGATGAGAGTCATGTGCTGATGTGAATTGTAAGCACTGCTACCCCCACAACCAGGACTGTAGAAACACATGCTACACCAGCACTGAGCTGGCAGGTACAGAAAAGACCATGTGACGGGCACTAGAGAGAAGCTTTCATATGGTTACTTGCAAGCTGAACTACTTGACATGCAGAATCCACTTAAATCTTATTTTAAAGATCATTTTATTTGTAGGTGTGCTTTGTATTTTATTTATTTATTTATTATTATTTTTTTTTTATATATATATGGTTCGAGTTTTAAAACCACTCAAATAAAGCTTCTTTGCTGAATTATATGGTTCATTTCTCATGTTTTCTATATGGTTATTTGGAAAACATGCTTAAAGCTACATTATAGGTTCTTCAGATCAGTCAGCATTTTTTTGTTGTTTTTTTGTTTTGTTTTGCTTTGCTTTGTTTCTAGGTTGTTAGAATCAGTGGTTCTCAACTGGTTCTGCTTCAGGACCCAGATTTTACATGGGATATCTCAATGCAGATATTGTACAAAACTAAACAAAAATGGTTAATATAGCCAAACATTAAAATTCATTAAAGGGTTAGTTCACCCAAAAATGAAAATTCTGTCATTAATTACTCACCCTCGTGTTGTTGCGCCACTTTGGACGCGCATTCACGACAGTACAAAGTACGAGCGTGTGGCGGCGCCGGCGCTGATCCAGATCCGGCGTGATGAAGTCATTACTGTCATCATACATTACAACTGATACTGTTGTGAACGCGCGTCCAAAGTGACGCAGTAGAGACGAAAATGTGGAATAAAGTCGTTATTTTTGTTTTCTTTGCGCAAAAAAGTATTCTCGTAGCTTCAGAACTTTACAGTTGAACCTCTGATGTCACACGGACTACTTTGTCGATCATCTTGGTACTTTTCTGGACCTTGAACGTGGTAGTTACCTTGCTGTCAGAGAGGTCAGAGAGCCCTCATATTTAATCAAAAATATCTTAAATTGTGTTCCGAAGATAAACAAAGGTCTTACGGGTTTGGAACAACACGAGGGTGAGTAATTAATCACAGAATTTTAATTTTTGGGTGAACTAACCCTTTAACATTACCATGAATTGCACAAACAATATCCAAAATTGTTAAAATCATATGAGGCTGTACAAAAAAATTGTTTTGTAATTAATCCACAGCAGAAGTGTAATTTACTTTGATTTTCTGTGATAAGTTCACTTCCATTCAAAAGTTTGAGGTTGATAAGATGTTTTAAAAAAAAATCTCTTATGCTCATCAGTGCTGCATTTATTTGATTAAAATGCTTTAAAATTATATTGTAAAATATTATAATAATTAAAAATAAAAAAAAATTCAATTTGAATATATTTTAAAATGTAATTGATTCCTGTGATGGTAAAGCTGAGTTTTGAGCATCATTACTCCAGTCTTCAGTGTCACATGATCCTTCAGAAATCATTCTAATATGCTGATTTGCTGTTCAAGAAACATTATCAATGTTGAAAACATTTCTATTTTGGTTTTTCATTTCAATTTTCATATATAAACACCCATACATTTAGTTGCATTTTATTAGTAGTAGTTAGCATAGTTTTACCCTGATTTTCATGATCCATGAGAACTACTGCTTTAAATCCCAAGTACAATTTACAGTTCGGTACAGTTCTTCTAAAGAAATAGAGAATAAAAAGCCTGCTGTCAAGTAGATCCTGCCATATTAACAGTAAGTACAGCTTCTATATTTCTATACTTGCACCGTTAAAAAAGAAATGCTAGATTACTGACTCACTCACAGTCCTTCAAAGCCACATGTAAAGCCATTAAGACTGTAGTTTACCTTGTCACTCTCTGAGTAAGGGTTGTTAAGCACTGTAGGCATGTTGTCCTTTCTCCAGAGGTCATCAAACACTCTGTCATTATCCGACGCCAGCTGGGCGTTCTGTCCATTTCCCACACCAAGGTCTCTGAAAGTCACAAACAGTTCAGCTCACAGCTCAAACATCAGCCAGAAATTTGGATGTATGTACAATGACTAAAACACATTCAATTCTATTATTTTTTGTCTACTGTAAGTCTAATACTTTCCACACTTTTTACATTTATATTAATAAACTGAAGGAATTAGTAAAAAAAATAATAATTAACAACATATCTCAGACATGTGCCATCCGTAGAGCTTAACTTGAATTTCTCTAAAACATTCATGTCTCAAGGCTACCAATGTGCATTTCGTCTTTTAAATGAAATGGTAAATTGCCTCAAATCCATACATACTCAAGTTATTCCATAATCAGATTTAGCGAGTGCCCAGACACTCAAACAATAAACCATGCTATCCGAAGTATAATGTGTAATTAAAAAGTGTAAACAAGCACTTATAGAACTGATGTTGATGGGACTTATAGTAACACATTCATCACAAATGTGAGAAGAGTGAGAGAAGCACGATTTGTTTTAGATGAAACGCTGCCATCTCTGCTCACCAGTCAGAATAATATTCCAAGCCTAATTTTAGTTTTTCAAATATAGAAAAGAAATCTGGTGAGGTGTGCACTTTTTCACATGATAACACACTCTGAGGCAATTTCTAATCACTGCTCTGTTTGTTTTAACATCCAGACTTGGCCGACAACAGCAATAATAAGTCAACCAATGGTGTGAGTTTGGGGCAGGACTATTTGTTTAACTGACCAATGGAAAAAAGGAGGGAAGTGTTCTGGATACCTGTTTGGAAAGAGTCAGTATTTATACACACTTCACCTTTAAAGGTCCCCTGCAATGCTTAGAAACACGCAGCGTTACTCTATGTGTTGACGTCATTTTAACTGAAACAGGAAGACAGGGTGGGACATATCAAGCAGCCCCGCCCCTTTTAAAAATAGCCAATAGAGTTCGTTTATATCACAGCTTGAGCTAGAGCCGTTCAGAGCCGTTGAGCTCCGTAAAGCCGCATTTGACAGGGTATGCCAGTCACAATCTCATCCATATTGCTATAAAATATAGCATTCTGTGTAGAATTCAAATAGCTCCGATACATTTTGTTGTCTGCCCCGACTCACGCATGTGATCCGCTCCATGCTATCATGTCTCTGGACCGGAGCAGAGTGTGTGTGTGGTGCGGTGGTTAGCGTGACACAGCAGGAAACCAGACTTCTTTTCTTCCTCAATGGAAAGCATATTTACACTGTTTGAATTGTTCCCTGTCCCCTATATAGTGCACTACGTGCCATTCACTGTACAGAAAATACTAATTCTGTGGACAAGTGACCGATTTCAGCCGCAGCTTCAGCGTCTATTTTATAGTGTAGGGGGCGGGCGCTTCGGATTCTAGAGAGCATTTGATTGGACAGAAAGTTTGATGAGAAGCTGAAGTACGATGTGACGTCAAAAAAAATCGTTGAGCCGTTTTGGCGGAAGTGACGAACTGAAAGCTTTGAATGCTTATATCTTCTAAATGCGAATGTTGTCACTGTTTTGGAGCACATTGCCTTATATATATAAGCTTAAGACTAACGTATTGATACTAACACCCAAAAAACTTTAATTTTGATTTCATGGAGACTTTAAGCACATAAAAATGTGGACAGCTGCTGTTCATGAACCACAAGGATTACAACTAACCAGTTTTGTTTAATGAGGCTTTTAAAGAGAGGACATTTATTTGATCTTCACAGTTCTGAAGATGGCAGTCTCATTCAGTTAAACAATATGACAATACTAGTTTATGTTTATTATGAAAACACTACAGTGGTTAGGCTATAACAAATAGAATGAATTAGATCAAATGGTGTACTGTGAAAACTGGGGTATGATCACAAAATGACAATAATATTCATGTCTATATTTATCCATTCTCTTATTAATGTTGCTGGTAGCTTCTCACACTGCCTGTCAGTATTTCCTGATCACTAAAGCGTACTATGAACATTCAACGCAAGAGTAATCTCAAAGACTGAATTGAATAAACTCCCAGATTCACTCACTGACAGTTTACCAAATAAACACAAAATTCACTCATCAAAAAGAAAATGCATTTAGTAAACTGACCTTTCTCAGAAAATATTTTTTTTGAAGCATGAATATTGTGTGAATATGTCTATATTCTCTGCCGAGTGATTCGTAAATCATATTCCCAAATAAATGAATAGGCGAGACAGACTAGGGCTAGTTGTCACACAGACTTTAGATAGTTAATCCACAATAGTGGCGGCAATATTTAACAGATTTGTTTGTAGTAAAGACTTTTTCGGGAGACTATACATTAGAGACTATACTATGAGTTGAGTATATGTTGAGTATACTATACATTAGACTGTATTGTACTATTTTGATCATCAACATCATATTTGCACTTGGAGCACATACACGGGTTTCTTTTATATTAAAAGGTATACTAATTCTAAGAACTGGATGTCTTCTTGATTTGTCTGTTGTTTACAACATTAAGTTTGGAAGTTGAGTTTGGAAACTAAATGTCCAATAAATGGAGCTATCAGGGTCTATCGCATTTGAAAGTAACATATCACCCACTGAAACCCTACCCTAACCGCTAGTTTTAAGAAGACCAAATGTGACCCTGGACCACAAAACCAGTCATAGGTCAATTTTTCGAAATTGAGATTTATACATCATCTGAAATAAATAAGCTTTCCGTTGATGTATGGTGGCATTTGTTATGATAGGACAACTTTTGGCAGAGATACACCTATTTGAAAATCTGGAATCTGAGGGTGCAAAAAAATCAACATATTGAGAAAATCGCCTTTAAAGTTGTCCAAACGAAGTTCAAAGCAATGCATATTACTAATCATAAATTAAGTTGTAATATATTTACAGTAGGAAATTTACAAAATATCTTCATGGAACATGATCTTTACTCAATATCCTAATGATTTTTGGCATAAAAGAAAAATCAATAATTTTGACCCATACAATGTATTTTTGGCTATTGCTACAAATATACCCCAGCGACTTAAGACTGGTTTTGTGCTCCAGGGTCACAAATGTGTGATAAAAACCCATTTGCTGAAGCAACCATGCCATTTTAGCTATTTATCATGACTCGTATTTCACGGGACCCATACCTAAACGTTCCACATCGCAAGTATTATGCTGTACTAGGTGAGATACCGAGCAAGTTTACCATATTAGAAAAGGCATACAAATGGAGCTGGTTATGTGATGCAAATGTCAAAAATATTAGTTTACAAATCATGCACTATGGTAAAAGCCTTCTGAGTTAATAACATACTATTGTGGAAAAAAATATGCAAAAATAAGTCTTTATTAACTGATAATTTGCCCTTGCATTCATAATTAGTGTGAAATGAATAAACACTGTTGGCGACACAGTTGGAAACTGCAGAGAGATGTATGTATTGGTATGTTTTTTTAATCTGCAAAAAAATAATAAGACATCACTCACCTCTCCACCTGCACTTCAACATCCTTCCTCTCTATGACTCTCTGACCTTCTCCATTGATTTCTTTTTTGCTGTTCTTGATGAGCTTCAGCACTGGCTCTATCTCCTTCAGCAGGTCGTTGTTCTCTTCCACCCCGTTAAGGAGGAGGGCTGAATGGCCTCCTTCTCTAAGCAGAGAGTCCTGGGTGAGCAGGGGAATTAGGGGTTTGCTCTCCCGTGGTTCTTTCCTGGGAGCAGAGGAAGAGGACAGGTTCTCTATGGCCCGGAGCCCTTTGGTCATGTTGGGGCTGAGAGGCGAACATCGATCGCACGGCCTGCTCTGAGTGGGGTTAACAGGCCTGGTGATGCGAACTGTTTTGGGTTTCCCGTCACTGCTCAGCGTGGTCTCCAGGTAAGTGGTGAAGCCCTCGGGTCCGCGGAGGATGAGGACGGCATGGCTCTCAGGCGACACGTTCTTCAGGGTCTCGAGTGCACATTCGTAGCTCAGGTCCACCAAAGGCTTGTTGTTCACGGCCAGGACGATGTCGCCGACTTGGACCAGCCCACATTCCTCCGCTGCCCCGCCCCGGATGAGGTCAGAGACAATGACGGGCGGCTTGCACACACGTTGTTTGACCAGAAAGCCCAGCCCACCGATCTTTCTTTTGAAGAGGCGCACTGAGATGATGTTGGGCTGCAGCTGACACACGCTGGGCTCAGATTCCTGCATTGTGTCTTGCTGTGCGTCAGATCTGCGATTGAGTTAAATGTGACAAAGGAGAGCAACATGTCAGATGTGTCAACCACGGCAGGCGAAGACATGAAGAAATGCAAGACAATACAGGCTAGCAACATTCACTTTTTAATTCTACAAATGGCATCCTGTGGCATTTAAGGAAATATTCAGAACATTAATTAAGTCTAACTATGTCAGTAGTAAAAAATTGGTTTAAAGGAACAGACTGACCAAAAATAATTCATTCTAAACTTGTATGCTGTCATTTTTCCATGGAACAAAAAACAGCATTTAAAGTAGTCCATACGTCTCATGCTCTATATTCAATGCTTTAAAGTCTGATTTGTTAATGAACAGTTTTTTTTCTTTCAATGAACCGTTGATCTGGATCACAAATCAGACAGAAGGATTCGTTCACAAATCAAACTGATCTGGTTTAAATCACTGACTCAGTGATCAGGTTCTTGAATTATAAGCTCACTGGAGGGAAAGATTATCTGAATAAACTTCATTATTCTTCATGTCTCATACAAAACTATCATACAGCTTCAGAAAACTCAAAATACAGAGCATACTTTAAGTTGTGAAGATGCTTCCCAATTCTGTTATTGTGTTCCACAGAAATATAATAACAGCATACGAGTTTGAAACGACATGAGGGTGAGTAAATAATGACCAAATTTAATTTTTTTTTTGGATGAATTATTGCTTGACTTTGAATGCAAGTCATTATTTGTAAGAAAGTCATTCAGTTCAAATCTTCACAGTATTTTTTTTTTAATAATTTCAGTGATTGAGGGTTGACTCATATCACAGTGTACAAGCTGTGAACGTAGAATTCAATTCACTCTTTTCTTTCTTTTGACAAGCCAGTAGCATTCCTCCATGTGCATCATGCTCAGTCTCAACTGAACGTTCATGTTAGAAACACTTATAATCTACAGTCCTCCTGCATCTCGCCTTTCTTGGCAGAATGAAATGCATATGGCCTCGTGTGAACAACTATTGTCCAATTCTGTCAAAATGCGACATTACTAATTCGGATTTAGAATCATGGAGAGAATCATTACAACTGCAGGGACTGTTTTGTAATAAAGAATAAGCAAAGGCGCAACTAATAACTTTCAATTTCACAGCATCATCTATTAACTTCTTGTTTACAATACACTTGCATTCAATAGCTGAGTAACTACATGTGAATGATAAAATAAAACTGCATTTGTTATAGATTACACTGATATCACATTGAGAAAATTATGCACTATGAATGTCAAAGCTCTTAAAGGAACGCATTGCTCATTCTGTATAGACATATTGACATTTTGCTGGCAGGCTACACTGTGAAAATGTGCTTCAGTGGTTATTAATTTAAAATATTATTTCATATGACTGAATCAACCTGACCTCATTGGGTTTCATCAATAAAAGCAATTTACCTGTCAGATCAGGTAGAAATAGCTCCTGCTTTGCCAAACAGACATGCATTTGTCAAACTTTTGATATTGTTCTAACAATGGAATGCTTTAAAAAGACATATGATATAATATTTCCCCCATTTTAAGTAAGCATTTTTTTTCCACTTTATTTTTTTCCCCACTTTATCAGATACAGATGTTTTGCTCACACATTGTGTGGTCATGTTATAGTTAATAATGATAAATTCATTTATTATGAAATCAGTAACATATTAGAATAAAATGATTAGATAAATCTCAAGTACAGATATTAAAATAATTGAGTGCATGCTTCAAACCAGTGTAAGTTGCCTTTTCTTAATGATGAAAGATTAAAACTCATGTTGACAATTCTCAAAATTAGGCAAAAACTTCACATACACAAATTCCTTTTTTAAAACACACAAAACAACACGTGTGCATTATGCAGGAGTTATCAGAAGCACTGACCTGCAGCCATGCATGCACGTTCAACAGGACACAACAGTTGCTGCTGAGCATGACTGCTATGTAACTCCACATGCCCATTTCACAAAGCCATATCGTATACAGTATGTATTTCACAAAGCATTTGGAGTTGATCATAAAATATACTTTCAACTGTAAAAAAAAAACAACGCAACTTACCTCTCCACTTTGAAAGGCTATAAATATCGCCTCAAACAGTGTGGTTATCCCCTTGCCAGTATTCCGATGGACGGTTCAGACTTTTCTCTTGATGTTCCACTCAGAAGACGCGTGGCATGTCTGAGCGAGCCGCTGTATAAACACGCAGCGCGTGAGAAGCTCTGCTCTCCAGCCGCTCCGGTACGCGAGCATTTATTCCGAGCGCACTGCTGTCATTCTGTCATCCATCCCTCCCAACGCTCTGCCTCCCTCAATGGGAGGGTTTTACAACCCCAAAGCTCTGGCATCTACGGGAATGAATGATAGTTGCACACTAATATTTGTACATCTTCATATTAAACAAGATTATAGGTAGAAACATCTAAAATTAAAGCAGAAATGAACATTTCTATATTTGAAACAAGGTGAACCGGGAAGGATTTTAAAACCATCAGTTTCAGTGTCTAAAAATCACTATTATACATAACCAGCTGTAAGCATAAGATAAAGTGGAGTTAAAAAAAAAAGGCATTTAGAGGACTATATCAGTTTCTGTTATAATTTTTATATATTTTTTTCATTTTTAGCCTGTGCATTATGCATATTGCAATTTTATTTATTCATTCATTCATTCATTCGAATTTGATTGCATTTCTAATTTTGAATGCATTCATGTTTTCTATTGCGTCAACTCTGATAGTGTGTACGTTATATTATTTATGGTATGATTATATTATTGACTTATTTGTGGAATTATTAAATATAGTAATATTACTTTAAAGTTTGAGATACATAGGCCAACAAATCACCTAGTTACAGATATTGCAACAAAATTTTACATCACTCCATGATTTGCCCTGCACTTGAAAAAGAGAGCAATTCATGCATGTTACAGCCTTTTCAAATATTAAATTCAATTAAAAAGTAAAATCAATGTTTCAGTGTCAGAGATCAATGCGGAATCAACATGCAATGTGAAAATCATGTTGATCAAACCATGGTTTATTTTTCATTTGGCTTTCGTTTGAAAATGGATGTTTGGCTATACTTAGCAGAGGAAATATTAAATTGATCCAAAAAAAAAAAAAAATGCTCCATGGTCATTATAAACCACACAATCCTGTATTATGCTGTAAACACCAGCTATTTGCCAGCAAGAATATCTTTATCTTTGTGGACATTCAAAGATTGGTGTCAAAGGTTTCCTGCATCACAGGGTCAAGCAGCACAAAACAAGAACACTCTCTAATCTATAATAGATTAAATAAATATAATATATAATTTCAACACTGAGCTAAAACGTTTAACCTCGTGATACTAAAAGCTCTAGTAGAAATTATACATAATGAACAGTAATTATACACATTGCATTATGAAGTTTAATCTACCAAAATAATAGCTTGAGTGTACAACTTTATTTTTGAAACACCCACACAACACACAATGTCATGATTTCATTCAATAAGAGGTTGAACCACTGGGTCATAGTTTCTAAAGTTTTCTCTGTCTGTCTGTCTGTCTGTCTGTCTGTCTGTGTGTGTGTGT